TCATTTCTTTGTAATGAGAGCATTTGAGCTCCTCTCTTCTAGCCATTTGAGAACATACAATCAATTATTGTTAATTACAGATGCCTAGCACTAATAGTTTTTAAAAGCCAGCTGGCTTTTTAATAATTTAAAATAATTTAAGTTAAATAATTTAATTCTCATATGACAACAAAAGAGACTAAGATACAAGTCCACCTACTTTTTTACTTGTGTTTTAGCCTCAGACTGGCTGTGGAAGAAATCTTAGGCTGGCTAGTTGACTTTCCATAGTGTTCTATGTATCAACCACCAAAGACAGACAGGATTACCTTTCAGTGCAATCAGGCAAGGTGGCAATAGGGCAAGGCTGCATTTTAGAACCTGACCATCCCTCTGCTTTTGATACCACAGTTGGGTGGGGCACTGTGATGAGGGGAAGGAGAGGTGATGTGGGGGTGTGGATGATGAGGACACTGCATGTTTCTGATTTTCCATCATATTTCACCAATGATTTTATACGGCCCATGTCTTTCATAAGATGCTTGTGCAGAGAAAAATCAATCAACTAATCTCTCTTTCACAAACACAGAGTCACCTTCACTGTTCAAAATAATAAAGAGGAGAAAGAACCAAGACAGGAGTGGTAATCAAAAATTGCACTGGACTTTGAAAAGCCTATCTGCCAGTGCTTCTACTGATAGATAACACTGTTATAAACAAAGCACAAGCTCTGGAGTCCACGTGGCCTGTGGCTTCTACAGCTCTGTAACATGAGGTATTAAGGTCATCACTTTAATATTTTTTTTTTTACCCATGAAAGAATTACTTAATAGATAATTTGACTTTCCCAAGTAGATTATTCCCTGAATAATAGTCACGAATAAGTTTGAGTACTCTGACACTCATTTTTCAGCACAAATTTATGAAATGCTGGTTTACTGATATGAGTCTCCTACAAGTTCGAATAGTGTCAGTCCCTTACAGCTTAATCAGCTGTGAGTGAGTTGATGAAACTGATTCTCCAGACCTACTCTGAGGACAAACCCACCAATTCCACCAGCGCAGCCATGGCTAGGGAGCCGCTGGCCTCCCTCCTGACTAAAGCTAACCACAGTGCATACAGTACAAACTACACAGAGCTCACACACTCTTCCCTGATATAGCCTGACTTCTGGACTAGTTCAAACCTAGGTAGACTTGTCGAAGGTAGCTGGCCTAGCTGGTGCCCACAACGCAACCACCAACCTCTAAATCTGTACTGATATGGGACCAGAACTGCCCCCTCCCTCACCCTTTCTTCCTTTGCAAAAAGTTCTCCAATCTATGGGGATACTTTGGAAAGTTCGAGCAAAAAATGAATTACAAGATAATTATAATCTTCCTATGAACTTTCTGAAGACCCCTCTTGCAACTGAGGTTCTGAAAAATAGAGGAGATAGTAATAGTGAAATAATAAGGAAATTAAATTGTTAGTTGTTCTAAAGATCATATGAAGAAATACGGAGAAAAGCAGCACAGAATGTGGCCAGTTAATAATTTCAGTCCAGTACCTAGGAAGGAACACTTAAAAGGTTTTTTAACATCACTAAGACAACTTTTAATATGCTGAGGCAGAAAAAGATTAAATAGTTTCCTGTTGCACAGCAACAACAAATGTCCTATCTGCACACATTATCCCCTGCATCCTGGAATAGCTCAGGGCTTTGGAATGAGGCTGAAAAACAACCAGAAGTAAAGGCAAATTGCTATAACTTCATCACGCCACAGCCTTATCCCTCAAATCCAAATAATAAGCACATCCTTCAAATTATGCCAAAAGCCAATGATCTTGGCTTT